CCGGTTGTCGCCCTCAGGTCTCCATCACATCTCTATCCGAGGCCCATACGGCATCGCTGTGACCGGCTGCCTGTCCGTTCACCCCTCCCCCGCCGGACCGAGCCCCGGGCACTGCACCTTGCATGGAGGCATAGCAGCCGGACGATCTCGGAGGATGAAGCCCCCCCAGGACGGAGGGGGCAGGTGAGGGCCGCCGGCACTGACACCCCTGGAGGGGCCTTGATATTTTGCCTTCATTTATTTTTTTGCTTTGGAGCTGTTTTGTATTGCAAGCATGCATCATGGAGGAGAGCACCGGCTGAGGACATGAATCCAGAAAAATAAGGATCAGAGACCACCAGAGGCTCATTACAGCGACCCCCGGAGCTCCAGCCTTGCAGGGACCGATGAGGATGGATGGGGACCCTCATTTTACTGCCTGGGGCAGCTTGGATGCCGAGCCCATGGGGGGGCAGCGAGCTATAGACCTGATCCCTCAGCAGGTAGTGGGGGGCTATTTCCTGATGGGGACAGAGGAGAAGGGACGCATCACTCAGCCGAGCTGGCCAGGAATCCCGGAGGAGCAAGGTGGGCCGGTGCCCGTGTCGTGCCAGGGTGATGAGCCCTTGTTAGAGCCCCTTGGGATGTTGGAGGGAGGGCACGACCAGGCCGGAGAGGAGAATGCCCCCCTTGCCCTCTCTACCTTAAATTCATCCCTGGACTCCGCTCAGAATCCTTCATCTTACTGTACGTTTGAGTCGCCCTCTGAAACCGCCCCCGCACCCCTTTCCCCAGATCCCCTCAGTCAAGTACCTGATCAGAATGTTATTTCCCCTCTAGAAGATCAGCCATCAGATTACCTCTTAGATGTCCACCAGCTGCTTGTTCCTGGGCCCGCTGTGCCACCTGATACTGACCCGTTGCCCCATTGTCCCCCGGCCCCTGCCAGCCAGATGCCCGTGCCTCACGAGGGTTTGTTAGACTTAGATAAGACGCTGCTGTTTGCTTCTGAAACGGGTCAAAGTGACTGTAAGCCCCTGTCCTTTGATTATCTAACAGCCGAGACTGATCAAACTCCTCCAGCTGAATGTCTACCTCGTATTGATGACCATTCCTTATCCTCCAAAGCCCCTGTAGACCCCTCCACCGACCAGTTACCCTGGTCAGATCCCCTCTCGGACCTCGATGTTGTAGAATCGCCGCAGTCCGAATCCAACTTGGACTTTGGTGCTGTAGAGTCGCCCCAGTCAAGCTCCTGGTTAGATTCAGATGCTGCACGGTTGCCGCAATCTGAATCGTGCCTTGAACCTGACACAGTCCAGTCGCCTCATTCCGTGATCCATTTAAATTTTGACGCTGACCGCTGGTCACAGTCCCGTTTTTGCTCTGACCCGCTACCCCAGTCTGAATGCTGTTTGAATGCTGATGTTGACGAGTTGCCTGAGGCTGAGATCTGTTTGGACCCCAGAGCTGCTGAATTACCCGAAGCAGACTCTTGTGTCGCCTCCGACGCTAATGATCTGGACGAGGCCGATGCCTTTTTGGATCTTGAGGGGGATTTGCCCGAGGCAGAAGCCTGCTTGAACCTCGGTGTCAGTGAGCTGCCTGAATCGGATACTTATCTGAGCCCAGGCATCGGTGATCTACCGGAAGCTGAAAGCTTTGCGGTTCATGATGTTGGGGACTTACCTGAGGCTGAGAGCTTTTTGAGGCCCGAATTTGGTGAATGGCCTGAAGCAGGTTTAAACACTGGCAGTGAGTCGACAGAGGCTGAATCAAGTTCAGCCAACTTTATTGACTATTTGTTCCAACCTGAATCTTGTTTACTCTCTGATGTGGACCAGTTGCCCCAGTCTGATTCCTGTTTGGCCACTGAACAGTTATCCCAGGCAGAATCCTGTTTACATCCTGACACGAACCAGTTTTCCTGTCCTGAACCCTGTTTGAACCCAGAATCTGACCTTTTACCCCAGCCCAAACCCTTTTTCACCTCTGATGCTGACCAGTTACCCCAAAATGAATCTCATTTGCACTCAGTAGCCCAGCCTGAATCACATGCGGACTACAACATTAACCATTTAATATACAGTTTGGCATCTGGCTCTGAACAGTTAGCGCGGTCTGATGGAATTTTGGACCAAGACACTAATAAGCTTCCCCAGGCTACGGCCTGTTCAGATACCAACAGCAACCTGTTACCCCAGTTAGAATACTGTTTACACCCTGACTCTGGCCCTTTACCCACATTTCATTCCTTTTTGGACCCTGAATCTAAACAGTTAACCCAGTCTGAATCCCTTTCAAACTCTGATGTTGACCAAATAGACTTTGTATCCCAGTCTGAATCCAGTTTAGCTGCTGACATAAAGTCATTTCCTAAGGATGCACCCTGCTCAGCTCCTGAGCCTGAGATATTCCAGTCTGATTTAGGCCAAAACTCTGACCACCCTACCCAGTCTGAATGCTGCCTGAATTCTCAAAGTGAGCAGGTTGCTGATGCCTGTTTGGACCATAACACTAAACAGTTGGCCCGCTGTGATTCTAATTTGAGTTTGAAGATCGATTGGTGGCCTATGTCTGATTCTTGCTCTCAACCTGACCCAAACCATTTACTACAGTCAGATTGCCGTATAAGCCCAGAGTTTGCCCACTGCTCAGAGTCTGAGCACTCTTTGGACACTGACAATTTATCTCAATCTAACTCATATGTGGAATTTGACACTGTCCAGTTTTCCCAGACTGAGATCTCATTGGTTCTCAGTGCATGTGAGAGTCCCAATTCTGGGTCCTGCTCAAGCCCTGTTATTGATCATTTGCCCCAGTCTGGTTTATATTTGGACTCAGACACTGAGCTGTTGCCTCTCTCTGAAACCTTTTTGGCTCACGAAAATGACAAGTTAATCTGTTCCATTTCAGAATCCGACTCCGGGCTGATGTCTCAGTCTGAAACCTCTTCCTCCAACGACCAGATGCCTTTGTTTTCTGACTTTGCAGATGAGGGAACAAGTGGTTCTGAGGCCACTCACTCTGACCATTTAGTAATTTTTGAAAATCCCTTGACCCATAACAGTGACCAGTTGCCCATGGCCGAGTCCGGCTTGTGTGATGACTCTGAATTCTACTGTCTGTGTGACACGTTTTTAGCCATTGACACTGACCAGATATCTCTACCAGCTCTCCCCGAGGCTCCGGACCACGTGCCAGTTTCTGAATCTGTGTTGACCCATGGCTCTGATCAGATGGCTCAATCGGATCTCCCCAAGGACCCCGACATTGACCTTTTGCCTCTTTGTGACTCTGTTTTGACCTGTGACACTGGCCATTTTCACCTTGGTGAATCTTTTTTGCCCCAAGATGCTTTGCCTTTTACCATGACTGACCATTTAGCTGAAATGCGTGAAACTTGTCTTGACTCAGATAGTGGAGGTTTATTAAAGCTTGATTCATGTTTAAATGATGATAGTGACCAAGCGTCTGTGTCTGAATCCTCTCACAGCAGCCATGAATTGCCTCTTCCTGATTCCCCCTTGCCTTCCAATGCACACCAGTTGCCACCATCTGAACCATTTTTGACTTTTGAAACTGCTGACCGGTTGCCCCTTTGTAACTCTTCTGTGGCCAATACCAGTCACCTGCCTTCATTAGAGTCCTACTTAGATCTTGATCATGACAACTTTGACTCCAGTTTGCATAATCATTTGCCTTTATCAGGAGACACTGACCAGTTCATTGAATGCTCAACAGGCCATCTCTCTAACCAGTTGAAACAGTCTGAATCTTTTCATGATCTTGACCTGCGGCCTCTTTCAGAATGCCTTTTGGCCCCAAGCCTTGATGACTTAAACCTGTCTGATTTGTGTTTTACTCCAGACATTGATGAGTTTCCTTTAGGTGTGATGTCTGGGGGCCGTGGCAATGAAATATCCCTGTTTGATGAGTTTTTGGCCTGTGATGCTAACCAGTCACTTCAGCCTGAATCCATTGTTACCCCGACTAGGGATGAGTTGTCTTTGTTTGACTCTTGTTTGCCAAACGATGCTGAGAGCTCACTCCTCTCTCATATGTCTGTACTTCCTCATAAATACCAGTTGCCCTTCTCTGATTCCGCCGCTCTCCTCAAAGAGGATAATGCACAATCGTGCCAGTCTTTGATATCTTCTAATGTTGACCATCATTTGTCCGAATCCTTTTTGGAATCCAGTACTTGCCAGCTTCCACAGTCCGTATCCTATTTGGCCAGTGAAGTTGACCAACCTGAATATTCTTTGGTTTCGGCTTCACACTTTTCTCAGATAACCCCCGCCAATACCAGTTTCTCAAACAGCATTGTTGAAGAATTCCAAATCTCATGGGACTGGACTTCAGATTTAGACCACGCTGAATTCTCAGGGGTTGGTGTAGACTGCGGCTCAGATGTTTTGTTAAATTTATGTCCTGATGGCCCTGCCAGTCAGGTTCATGAAATGAATGACTGTTTGCCTTTATTTTGTTTAGATACTCCACCAGAATCTCCCATCGAGTCCCCAGAAATTGACCCACTTACCCTTTCTGACGACTTACTGTCACTTTGTGATGTCTTCTCCCAGTTACAAGCTAATGACATGACGGGCCCAGAAATTGTTGATGGTAATCTATGTTGTGCCCTGGATGGTTTATCACTGCAGCAGAGGGATAGTGAGTTTAGAACTGATCAGGTATCTATAATAGAAGAAGAAATGTCTCAGTTAGGTGATCCCCAGGCAGGTAAACTGCAACACATGCCCACACCTAATGGCCAAGTTGATTCTAATGTTGGAGGTGACCAAACATTCAATGGGAATTCAGACCGCAACCGTCGCGATCATGATGTTGAGCAGTCAGAGTCTTACTGCCTGGACTTCTTGTTTGAACCCAAACTGGATTCATGTGAAATGCAGAGTTCTCCTGTTGACCCACGTCCCCAGTTACAATTTGACCCATCCTTTGGAAGTATAATGTCTGCTAAAGTAGCTGGTCATTTACGTTGTGACGTAACCAAGCCTTCGCAATCCCATGTTGATGAAACGCAGTCAACCCCTCCACTGGAAAGTCTTTGTTTTGGGGATCATTTGCCACCTGCGTGTCGTTCAGATCCTTCTCTCTACAATATGCACTTGGCTCAGAGCAATTCATATGTGGCTACTGAAATGGGATCAACATCAGAACTACTTGGCGAAAGTGTCCAGCTACCGTTGATTGTGGGAAAGGAACCATTGGATGATTTAACTGAAAACAACCAGGATGTATTGCTTGCAAGGTCTCGGAAAGCCTTACCACCGGATAAATTGGTTCAGCCTGAGATGGACACGTCTATTGAGCATGGGGAGGTGTCTCCTTGTGATGTGAAAGGACCTGTTTTGCAACGATTGGAAGAACCTGATTGTAGCCAGGCGTTTGCTAGACTTTCAGGCTCCTGGGAGCAAATTCCTCCAGACGATATCACCCACTTGAAGCCAAATATTGGTTTTGAGAGCCCTCCATCTCTGCCAGGTGGTGAACAGATTGAAAAGCTTGCACTTTCTCATACAGCCTCTCCCTTGGATAATACCCAGGTGCTTCCGTGTGATTCCCAGCACCCTGCTGATTTACAGGATTCAGCCTCTGCTCCCTTCTCGTTTGGAGAGGGTGACCCGTTTTTGGGGTTTGCTCTGGATAATGACTCTCCTTGTGTTGGGGACGAGCTGGCCCGTCTCCGAGCTGTGTTTGATGCACTGGATAGAGATAAGGATGGCTTTGTGAAGATGGAGGACTTTGTGCAGTTTGCTACTGTTTATGGGGCTGAGCAGGTGAGTTTTGACGGTGGCATTGAAGCAGGCCGCCTTCTCTCTGGGAAACATGCTTTTTTATGGGAGAGATGTTACTTTGCAGTTAAAGGCACCCTGTACTGAGGGGTAAAGATCCATTATTGTCCTCCTATGGAGAATGCTAGTTGCCGGGCCGACATGCTAATCCAGTGTATAGTTTCTGAGGCAGGGGTAGCCAAACTCCGGCCCTCCAGCTGTGGTGAAACTACAAATCTCATGATGCATCTGTCTCTGGGAGTCATGTCTGTGGCTGTGAGACTCTTGCAATGCCTCATGGGATTTGTAGTTCCACCGCAGCTCGAGGGTCGGAGTTTGGCTACCCCCTGATCTGAGGTAATGACTTAGAATGTGGATCCAGAGTTCTAAGTTTGTATTTTTTTATTTGCAGGCTTGTTCCAGGACGGGGAAACTATTGCAGCATAGGTAGCTAAGATGTTTAGTACAGGGGTGGGCAAACTCCGGCTCTCCAGCTGTGGTGAAACTACAAATCTAATCTCTGGGAGTCATGCCTGTGGCTGTGAGACTCTTGCAAGTCCTCATGCGACTTGTAGTTCCTCAACAGCTGGCGGGCCAGGGTTTGCCCACCTCTGGTTTGGTATTATGTTTTAACAAACCCCCCTAATAGCTGCTCTATCCTCCAGCACCTCCAAAATTCTCTTATGCCGTCCTCCCTCCTGCTGGATCTTCGCTGTGTCTAATATTTCCCATTTTGGCAGCAACTTTTGCGCATGTAAGGAAAATCTTCATTCCTTTGGAGAGGCTGTTTAATAAATGCCCCAACAGTGGACCGGCTCCACATAAGAGCGAATGGAGATTTTTCTGTATGCGCAGAAGTTGGGGAGTTTGGGGGGGGGTGGGGGGGCAGAAGGTGCATATGGGATCAATTAAAGCAAGGATAGGCAAACTTCCGACTCCCAGCTGTAGCAAAACTACAAATTCCATCATGCATCTGTCTCTGGGAGTCATGCTTGTGGCAGTCTGTGTTGCAATGCTTCATGGGACTGGTAGTTGCACCACAGCTGGAGGACTGGAGTTTGCTTACCTCTGAATTAGCTGCAAGAAAGAAAAAAAAAACATGGACTCCAGGCAAACTGCTGAATGGACAGCCAAAACCTTTATGTGAATAGTTCTGCTTGCCAAAATGTTCATTCTATTGAGCCTGTCTTTTGATTTACACAACTCACAATTCACTACACAGGTCCTCTGGAGGCACCGGTATTTTTCTTTTTTAGCTTTGCAGCCTCTTGTGTCGCCCTCCATTTGTCCAGGCAAACAGCTAGATATGCAGTTAAAACTTTTATGGGAATAATTCTGCCTGCCAAAAAATGTTCTCTCTGTTCAGCCAGTTTTGCGCATCACATTGGTCACATTGGTCATCAGTCACACTGCACATGCCCTCGGGTGGCACCGGTATTTCCCATTTTAGCTTTGCAGCCTCTTGTGTCATCTGCTGTTTGTCTAATGAGAATTCAGGTGACACAGGAAGCTGCAAAGCCTAAGCAGAAAGTTTCAGTTGCCTGGCTATTTACTGTGTCAGGGGTGCGTGGATCACAAGAGGTGCTGAACAGAATTTTAAATGCTGCAGCAGGTAAATCGGTTTATGTACATATACATATTTTGATTGTGTGGTTAGCTTTTTGCTTGAAGCTCTGCATCTAAGGGAAACTATAGTGTATCATCGGTAAGCATATCTATTCAGTTATTGGAGATTTTATCTTTGATGAGCCTTTTACATTTCCATAAGTGTCCTCCATGTTGTTGTTACTGCAGTAAAGCTGAGCTCCGGGCACTGAGACCTTTATTCACATATATTCCTCAATAGCCGCAAAGGATACAAATCCTCAAATGCTTTTACAAAGCCAGATATGACCTTCACTGTGCTGTACATAACATATACAGAGGGCAGAGCTGTGGGAGGGGCCAAGGATGCCCCACCCACTACAGCAGTGGTGTCAAACTCCATTTTATCGCGGGCCGAATCGGCATTATGGTTGCCCTCAAAGGGCCGGTTGTATCTGTAAGACTATATATACTCTTTATCATATTAAATAATTGCCTCTGCATTTGATTATTACTGGTTTTAGTCCTAACTTAATAACTATCTCTGAAAGTGGAAGTCTAGGAAAAATATTGGCAATTAGTGTCATAGTGCGCACTCTCTGGTGGCTATGCGGGGTCTATAGTGGGCTGTGCAGATTCTGTGGTTGGTCTGTGCTGACTCTCAGGGGGGTTGCGTGGGGTCTATGGTGGGCTGTGCAGGCACTCAGGTGGCTGTGCAGGTTCTATGATGGGCTGTGTTGCATTTTAGGAGGGCTTTATCGTCTCACCAGGGGGTCCCGGTCGGTGTCTATACAGGTTCTATGGTGGGCTATGCGGGGTTTATGGTGAGCTGTGTGGACTCTCAGGTGGCTGTGCAGGTTCTATGGTGGACTGTTTGGGTTCTATGGTGGACTTTGCGGGTTCAATGGTGGACTGTGCGGGTTCTATGGTGGACTGTGCGGGTTCTATGGTGGGCTGTGCAGGGTCTATGGTGGACTCTGTGGCGTCTTAGGAGGGCTGTACGGTCTATACAGGTTCTATGGTGGGCTATGCAGGGTTTATGGTGAGCTGTGTGGACTCTCAGGTGGCTGTGCAGGTTCTATGGTGGACTGTTTGGGTTCTATGGTGGACTGTGCGGGTTCTATGGTGGGCTGTGCAGGGTCTATGGTGGACTCTGCAGCGTCTTAGGAGGGCTGTACGGTCTCACCGGGGTCTCGTTCTGTGGCTAGATGGGTTCTATGGTGGGCTATGCGGGGTCTATGATGGGCTGAGCAGACACTCAAGTGGCTGTGCAGGTTCTATGGTGGGTGTGCGGTGTCTTAGGAGGGCTGTAAGCTCTCACCAGGGGTCCCGGTCGGTGGCTATATGTGGTCTATAGTGGGCTGTGCAGGTTCTATGTTAGGCTGTGCGGAGTTTATGGTGGTCTGTGTGGACTCTCAGGTGGCTGTGCAGATTATGTGGTGGGCTGTGTGGTCTCACCAGGGGTCCTGGTCGGTGGCTATATGGGGTCTATGGTGGACTGTGCGGTATCTATGGTGGTCTGTGTGGACTCCCAGTTGGCTGTGCAGGTATTATGGTGGGCTGTGCGATCTCTCTTGGTCTTGCTGGGACCTGGCTGGGGACCTCGGCAACCTTCCTGTGAAGCCCGACGCCGGTTTACAGGAAGCTCTAAGTCTCATACTGGATTACTGCTAAGACTGGAAGCTCGCCAAGATTCAAAGAGGAATATAGATGACTATGTTTTTATATTATCATTTAGTTTAGCTTTAAAGCGTATCTAACATGCGTGTGTGTTTGTGTGTACACACACGTACATTATTCATACAGTTCCTTTTAATCATAGTGCTCTTTAATAGGATTAGCTCAGCTCATTCACACATCTGAGAGATCATACAAAAGCTTCTGCATTTCCCTCGATTACTGGACAATACATAATAATTGCAATGTATTGGACTGAGTCATTAGGTAAACCTTATATGTGTGCGGAGAGAAGAGAAGCTGTAAAAGACAATTACTAATTAATTGAAGGAAAACCGCTCACAACAATTGATGAGTCATAGAGCTGTGCTAAGCTGAGGGCTGTTTGCTGTTGGGTAGGGAAGCTTGCCATCACCTCTGATTTCAGCCTATTAGAAGTCCGGGCCGGATCCTATCACAGGGACTTATATGTGTGGTCATGGCTATGTACAAAGGGTGCGTGAGATCCAAACTAGGGCTGCAACAACTAATCGATTATAATCGATTATTGAAAAAGTTGTCAACTATTTCAATCATCGATTAATCGGCTTCCAATTGGTTGCCCCTGTTCACGGCTCCACACACGCTGCGCGCCACACCTCCTCCCCACCTCAGACCCGCCCGGATCCATGCTCCACACGCCACACCTCCTCCCTGTTTTTTTAATCGACTAAATCGATTAACTGTTGCAGCTCTACATTCCAGTGCGTTCGGCCTCTGGAACGCAACATGGCCGGCTCAGTTTTTTTGGGGCGGGAGGGGGCGTGGCGGTGCATTGAACTCAATGGCACCGCAACCATGCCCGCGGTGCGATCGCCGGCACCCAAATGCATGGCACATTAGTGCCTGCGTTCCTGTCCAGTGCGATCTGCAAAAAGTGCTGCAAACAGTATTTTTTGCATTCGCACTGTGTGCATTGCTTTGCCATGCGTTCTGGTGCGGGGTGTACTGCCAGAAGGGAGGCGTGGCTGCTGTACCATTTAACTTGAATAGCACCACCACGCCCCCTCCCGTCCCAAGTCAGGGAGGTTTAATTATGCGATCCAGTGCGTTCCAGCCACTAACCGCGCTCGAACACACTGGAGAGTGTGTGAACCGTCCTTTAAGCCAGGGCTTGACTTGGCTTGAAATTTTTTGTGAAACTGGGAGCCAGCTAAAAAAAGTTAGGAGCCATGTTTTTTTTTTTTTTTTTAAATGCGCCCTTTC